CCCCAAAACCCCAAAACCCCAAAACCCCAACACCAATCATTTAGGGTAGATGAGAAGGTATTTAAAATTCGGTAGAATTCAAATTTAAATTTTTAATATCATAATTATTAATGAACTCTTCAAAATCACTTTCCTGGTTGAGATATCCATTAGAGGACAAAACATAGATGTACTCTAACATGCCAAAAAATCTTACACAGACATAAGCATCAACTATCAAGCCTACATCTCCTCAGAAACAAGAAATCACCAGTTGTTGCAAAGACGGTACACTACTAAAGAATAATGAGACCTCTGGAAATTGTTCTCACTGTGGACTATTTATATTGATCAATGTAAAATTTTAAAGGAAGTTAACAAATTTTAATAGAAATTAGGGGGCTACTAAAAGGCTATCCGAGAATAGGGAAAAGAGTTTAATTTAGACTAGCCTATGATTATTATAATTTAGAATATGAAAAGTAAATCACAAGAAACTCTTGGATAATTGAGTCCATAGTCATCTTATTTATAAGTATGATATATTCAGAAATAAAATGATTTTTTAGAAAAGAAAGCAAATTGTCGATTGGATAAGTGGAGTTGGGGAAAGTCTTCAAATTTCCTCAAAGACTATTCATCATTGTGTCCTAATTATGGATTTATATGCCTCAATGAACCAAAATTATATTAAGGACAGTGAACTGCAATTAATAGCGGTTTCCTGCCTAATGATTTCTACAAAATATTATGAGATGAAGTACCCAAGCGCTTCAAGCCTTAATTCAGCAACAAAAAACTCTTATAGCTAGCAATAAATTATTACACAAGAGGGGGTTATCCTAAAGGTAATAAATTGGGATCTTTTGAAGTATTCAATTCTTGATTATGTTGAATTATTCCTGAATCAGGGTTGTTTATTTGAATCAGATGATATTTTTGCATAAACACTTCCTCAAACAAACATCAATATAGCAACAGTTCTAACTCCAAACAATTAAATTCCTCCTAAAAGTGGAAGATCTCCGCAAGTCAAAGTTTCGAAACAAACAACTGAATATTTAAAGAGGTATGCTGAGTTTTTTGCTGATTTTTGTATTTAAGAAGAGTGCTTTATACAAGTTAATCCTATGTATTTGGCCTGTGCCATAATTGGTTTTGCTAGAAAATATACAAAGCTAGCTATAATTTATCCTACTGAGCTAGAGATCTTGACTACGGTTCCATTTACCACTGTGAAAGCTTTGTATTAGATGCTAGAGAGCAGATATTATGAGTGCTTTCCTGATCATTAATAGAAGGAGACAAGAGACTATCAGAAAAAAGTGTCTCCATAGTAGCTTACAATATAAATCAATACAAATAATAGCAGTAGTTCCAAAAAACTTTAAAATCTGTCAAATGTTTCTAAAACAAATTTAAAGATTGATATTGAAACCCCTAACAAATCATAATTTGAATTCGGTAACTTGATAATCAAGAGTAATGATAAGCTAAGTTCCTAGAAAACACTTGCTTAAAACAGATCTAACGTGAAATAAAGAAACCCTTCACAAATAGCATAACTAAGGTTAACAACAAATCCTCCTGATTCAGTTAAAAGATTTACCATAAAGAAATCAATAATGGGTGCATTCGACAGTGCAGCTAACTTGGGTTCTGTTAATACCTCTGGTTTTCTATAAACTAACCCTACATCTGCTTAGAACTATTAGAACTCGAATTCCAGAAATAAATCATCGCTTGGTCTAGGGCTTAAAACAGCAATAAGCTCTGTGAAATAATCTTTTCATGGAAACTCGAATTAAATGAGCTTTCATTAATAAGAGAGCAATGCTGCTTCTTTGAATCATAACTACTAAAGTTGCTAATCACTTATTACAAAGAAAATGTAATCAAGCAGAAGTCAAGCCTAGTTGATGAACCACCAAAACATACCCTAGCACAACCATAATTAACAGTAACTGAGAATAAATACTAATCCAAATAATATTCAATCTGCTGAGAATGTTCTAAATACAACAAATAATTACAACACGATACAAAATCAAAAATAGACAGCTAATCATAGCAAGAATGTATCTCATATCTAAATTGATCCTGCACCTAAGCTTAATAATTTTATGACAATAGACTATACTACCTGTCTCAAGGAAGCAGTTAAAGCTAATAAAATACCTAGATAGAAAGTAGTAAATATAAGATTAAAGGACAACAATACTTACATGCCTTAAACTACAACAAATAAGGAGAATTTAAGTCATAACGCAGCAGCACTTCTTTAAAAAATCACTTAAGGAGGATGCACAACAAGTAGAAATTAGATGATTAATCAGATACCTAATCCAAGTCACAAGGATCTTCAATATAATAAAACAAGTGGCTAGATTCCAACATCTATCACCATTGACAATACCCATCATAACAGGATTGCTTCAACTGGTGGGCTTAATCATCCATCAAGAGCAAGCTTAAGCAGAGTCGATCTTGTAAAATAACTAAATGCTTCTAGAGAAAGAGTCAACTCTTTAATTTTGAATCAAGGAGGATAATAATAAGTCAGATAGAATTTGATAAAGGCTCTCAATTAAAAGAAATGATCATGAGATTTTTAGCAGACTGCTTGTCTTTGATTTATCTAGACTTGCAGCCATCTATACTACAATCCGACTGTTACTTTGCCATTCTCCCTTGCCTTATTCCTCTCTAATTACATTTAATATAATTGGTATATTCTTTAAAGTTTAAAATAAAAACAGTCTTCAAAAGCATTGATTCACTTAGGGGTTTTGGGGTTTTGGGGTTTTGGGGTTTTGGGG